GTCAGAAATCTTGTGAGGAGCACCTGGTCGTGGTCGGTTTATGGTGAAATGATGTTCTTTCCACTTCCTCCACGTCTTGTCTTTCCATGCCTTTTTACACCTCCCTTTCTTCATGTGTTCAATACTTTTTCCCTGTGCCATTCCACATTATTACAAATAACTTCATTTCTGGACATTTATGGTTTGATTTCTTTGTATGTATGGATCACTTGGGTTGTTACAGACATCTGGTGAAAATTTCATGTCATTAGTACCTCTAGTAATATATTTACTGTGAAAAATGGTGACGTGTTCAATACTTACTTTACCCGCTGTAGTATACAGCAGTGGTCACATTCAATCAAGCACAATACTTTGTATTTAAAGCCAGATCCTTTTCCAAAACAGAAAGCTAGTATCACACCAATTTCTTGGCAGGTGACTAGAATGAATCAATTTTCAGGTCAATCTGTAATTGGCGGATTTGGCACTTAATAGTCTGAGTAATAGGTCTAAATACTTTTTTGTCCCTGTTGAAAGCATCACTGCTAAGTATTTAGAATTCATGTGGCTATGATGCAACCACAAAACAACAAACAATGTACTTTTATGTATTTAAACTTAAAATACCTAATAAAGAGTGCACAGTAACATATGCCAAAAAAGTAGGGATGCACAGATATTGAAATTTCAGCCGATATAGATACCGGACATTATTATTGGTGCTATGGCCGATAACTGATATTTACCAATATTACACAAACACACAAATTATTTATATACATATACACACAAWTACACTTGTGTCTTTTCAATATCATAAAAAAATTACCAGACCGCTGACGTGGCTCTCTGGGAACACCATCATGATAAACAGATACCACTCTCGACCAAAACAGAAACACAAAGCTAAAAAGTGGGAAATCAATCAGTTTTASTTATTGGACCGATGTCAGTATTCTAAAAAAAATGACCAATATCGGCCGATATTTATGTTAAGGCCGATATATCGGGGGTATCCCTACAAAATAAAAAACATTAATTCAAGGCTGCTGCCTAAGAATTAGCACAGACGCTAACTTAACAATGAAAATACCATAGAAAGGCTAACACAGTTAGCTTTGTGTTTATCACTGGAAATTTATACACAAATTGAGAGTTTAAAGATGTTACTAAAGACAATTATTATATGGTAGTGCTGTCCCAACTAGTTGACGTCACCGGTTACAACTGATTGTTGGACAAGTGTTGCCACAGAGGCGTACTTGGGCGTCACCTGTCATTTTCTAAACVAGAACTGGGAGCTCACCTCTTACATTCTCACCACAATGCCACTGGAGGAGCGTCACGAGGCTGAAAACATTGCTGCCTGGTTAGAGCAAGTAGCCGAAAAGTTTGGCTTCTCCCTCAGTGAAGACGTCCTGGCAGTCGTGCACGACAATGGTGCAAATATCATTGCAGCTCTTAGGATCCTTAACCAGAGGCATGGATTGGCTTCACAACGGTGTGCTGGCCACACACTTCAGTTAGTTGTTAATCATGCCCTGAAGCAAGCGCCCCAAATWAAMAAGACACTTGRGGCAGCAAGGTCACTTGTAGAATATTTCAGAAGGASTGAGCTTGCAAGCACTAAGCTCAAAAACAAACAAAAGTCAATGGGTGTAAGTGAGCACAAATTGATCCAGGATGTAGCCACAAGATGGAACAGCTCCTACTACATGGTGAGTCGCCTCCTGGAGCAGCGGTGGCCAGTGATCGCAGTCCTTTCAGACCCAGAAATAACAAAGACATCAAAGCATTACCTGGATCTGAAGACTGGCCAGTAGGCCCTACTGGAGGAACTGGAGCAGGTTCTGAAGCCCTTTGAGGAAGCCACTGTCTTTCTAAGTGCAGAAAATTATGTGACTATCTCTACACTACCCCAGCTGGTGAACGCCCTCCAGAAGTCCACACAGAACAGATTGTTTGAGTGTGCTCCAGTCAACGCTTTCCAAATAACTGCAGAAGAGCAGATAGCTTCAACATGGGTCAGTGAGACTACATTCAGCGAGGATGGTCCCAACGTGTCTCTCCTTGCTGCTGCCCTCAACCCCAGGTTTGTTCTTTTTTCTTTTTTTGTCCAATTGTGAAAACATTTTTTTTCCTTAGCCCTACTTTCTGCTTAATTTTTTGTTCTCTTTTTTCATTATTACTGTTCTGTGTTCTCTTTCACTTTTTATATTAAGAATAGTACTTTGTAACTTTTTTGAAAAGTGTTTTATATTTTTTATTACAGGTACCGCAAGCCCAAGTTCCTGTCACCAGATGAGATCCTAAAAGTGCAAGTTAAACTTCAGGGTCTTGCACTTGAAGCCAAGCGAAGGAATAAGGAACAGCTACAAGCTGGTTTGGAGCAGGATGACCAGAGGGAGCGCTTCCCATCAAGGAGAGGTCTCTGCTAGACGTGTTGATAGATACTGACTCAGATCACGACAACAATGAAAGAGACAATGGCCAGGAATATGATGGTGAAATGGTGAGGAAGGAGGTGCTCATGCACTTTGGTGAGTGCCATTGTCAAAAGGAAAAGAGCACACTGCAGTGGTGGAAGGAAAATGCAGCGAAATTCCCCACCCTGGCTCTGTTGGCCAAGTCATACTTAGCTATCCCTGCAACATCAGCTCCACGTGAACGCCTCTTCTCAGCTGCTGGGAACATTGGGACCAAAAAAAGAGCAAGCCTGACTTCTGAGCACGTAGATATGCTCACATTCCTGCACTTCAATGCCCAGTTTACACTTTACGAGAGACTATTATTTAATCCTGTTGGAAAATTAACTGTTCAAGTTTGATTGCACTGTCATTTTTTTATTTATTTATTTTTTCATAGTTTAGCTACTTAGCTACAAGTATTCTTCTACCTCAGGTCTTGTTAATGTTTTTTGCTTAATGCAAAAATCTGGAGTTAATGTAAACTACTGTTACTATTATTAAAATGGCACTTTTTTTATTGCCAGAGAATTATATGGACTGCTAAAATTGCACCAAGTTTTTGGTGGTCTTTCWGAAAGTGACCTAAAGCACATATTTWGATTTTTGGATTGCATTGCTAAGATTGCACTATATTTATTTTTACTTGAATTATTTAATTTTGCTGGTCACTGGAGAGACTTAAGTGAAACTGTTTTACTTTGCTGCTTGAATGTTTTGTTTTTTGACATGTTTGATATTTCTTAAGAAAACTAAATAAACACAGGAATTTCAATTAGAAAAGATTTTTATATTTTTTTGTAAATTAGTCTTTATATTACTCGATCAACAAAAAATAATCGTTAATGAATCAAAAAAATAGTCGTTAGACTAATCGAGTAATCGTAAAAATAATCGTAATTGAGAGAAAAATAATCGTTTAGGACAGCAATATTATATGGTAACTTCAGCTTTTATTTACAGACATTCCTTCTGGTACAGCAAAAAAAAATTCAACAATTTAACTATTCACCACACCTAACTGTAAATATGAGTTATTTTTTACAATCTGGTTTATAAAGGCAATGTATAAAAAGTCTATCATCTGTAACTGTTTTTAATGTAAATGTTGTTAAATGAGAACGCTGTCATTTTTCTTTTTATTGAGACAAAAAAGTAATTATGAAGATAGATTAGACTTTTCTTTTCGCAATAAATTCAGCCAAAATTAGAATCAGCAAGTCAAAGCCATTACAAAAATCAGAAACTGGAATCGTCCCACAAAGCTGCAATCATTGCATCTTGACATAAAACAAATTAATCTGTCAGGAAAAAACTCGTAAAACTTAAGTGCATCACCAGAGTGAGGAAAGAGAAACACAAACACAAACAAACACACACACACAAACAAACACACACACACACACACACACACACTGGTTTTGAGGTTGAGAAAACCCTTTAAACCCATCGTCAGGTAAGTCATCAATTCTTATGTCGGTAATTAAACAAAAAAACACTCGAAGCCTGGCAGTACATTCACACATGAACACACACTGATAATTATTCACTATATTTCACAAAGATTAAAGCTTAAAAAAAATTCTCAACTCGCTGACAACACTAAGTTTCAAATATGTCAGTGTGGAACTAGATCACAACACGATGCTCCACACCTCCTGAGCTGTGAAAAAACTATTTTGGGTCGAAAAGAAACAAAAATTACATGTAAATAAAGTAGAAACAGAGGAGAATATAGCATAAAATGTTAAATTAGAGACAGAAAAAAGGCTCCAGCAGGAGCGAGATGAGGAGCAGAGAAGACAGAAGAGGAGGGGTGGATGTGTTGCTTCTTGTCCAAGTCAGCTTGGATCCGGGCCCAGATTCCTTTCTGCACTGACTGGAAAAACAGAGCACACCTGACACAAGCATGCACCACAAGGAGGAACCGTGTGTGTGTGTGTGTGTGTGTGCGTGCGTGTGTGCGAGCGATTAAAGTTGATTGAGCAGGGGGGAAAAAAATCAGCTAAGTCATCTTGAATGAGGGCTGTCAAGAATTTACACATCTGTGCTGTTTGCTACAATTTCAACCACACATCTATTGCAACACGGCACATTTTTCTCTTCTGAATCCATCTGAGAGAATGCACGTCATCAGCATTGTTTTTATTCACACCAAAAAAACGAGCAGAACTTGGTGGTTGAATCAGCTTAGCCTTTTGGACCTGTGACCCCAGAGGTCATGGCTGAAAAGCAACAACCTCCTAAATTAAAGGGAAAGTTCATCTCAAGTTCTTTTAGGAGTTGGACTAACGAGCTAATGGCTAGTCTGAGCAGGGGCCCAGTTTCAAGGTGGATTTCTGTCGTCTGAAAAACAACTCCAGCCTCGAAGAGTATGAACGTTGTTTTACAAACCTCTACAGCACCATCAGTTTCACGTGACACAGTTAGCCCGACAGAGATATTTTTTATATTCCCAACAAGAGGCCCAGAGTGCAACAAAGGTGGCACTAACTGTATTTGTAAAAGAAAACAAAAGTATCCGTGTAAATAGCC